TGGCGACGCCTCGCGCGGCGCGCCGGGAAGTGTAGTCCGCGACCATTTACCCCGTCGTGGGCAACGCCTCGCTCGACCCTTCGGGAGATGTAGTCTGCCGACGCCGGTTCAGACGCAAGCCACGTCTTGCGCGGCACGCCGGGAAGTGTAGTCGCAATCGCCGCCGGCCATTCCTCGCGCGGCAAGGCGGGAGACGTAGCCTCTAGCGGTTCTCTCCGGCCGCCTGTCGTTCACTTCCGGTTCCTAGAGCGGGTTTTGTGAGGGGACGCGGGCTGTGCAGGAACCAGCGTCAGGTCGGCCTTTGGAGCTGGGAGGAGCCTTAAGCGCAGTTTGTAGCGGGGAGGGCGGCTTTTTCCACACTAGGGGAGCTGAACCGGCGCGTGGGTAGGAGCGAGCGAGCGGGTCACAGAGGGTTGTTGGTAATGAAAGGGAAATTGGGGGAGGGTGGCAAAGGCGCCTGCCTCTGTCCAGGGACTTGCCTAGCTTATCTCACCTCTGTTATGTAAGAGCCGCAGTTGGAAACCAGCATTCTCTCCCTATAAAAAAACGGTGACAGGCAACCTTGCCCACTCAAGCTGCGTAAAAATATTTAAATGTTAATTGTGGTATTCAGCGTCTTTAATTGTGTTGCCGTTTTCTGGGGCTTTATTTTCTACCTTTAATTCTCCCCTTTTAAGGAATTCTTGGTATGGGCATTCTTGGTATGTTGTCCAGGTTGGCCTCAAATTTGGAATCCTGCCTCAGCCCCTCAACTACCTGGACAGAAAATTTACGCTAAACGTGCATGTTTGCTAATCAAAAAGTAAATTAATGGAGAATAAAGTTTTCTGTCTCGTTGAAAGTTGTTGGAGGAAAGTTTTAATGTACTCCTTTTCCTTCTGAAGGTGTGATGATTCTAATCTATCAAGTAAATTAGCAGTAGCTAACAGAAGGAACATACAACTCCTGTCACATACCGGAGACGTAGGAGTACAGTATTAGGCTGAAAGAGCAGGATGGCTGACTTAGAGCTTAAAGGGGGAAGGTTATCACTGACTACCATGGGTTTTTGCTTCAGCAATAATGGAAATTAAAACTGAGGCAACAACACAAATTTACAGGCAAAAGCTCTAATTGGAAAGTAAGAAAATGGTGAAGGGATTTCGGTTTGAGGAAAGGAAAAGCTGAAAAGGATACAGCCCTGATGGGGAAGATCAGGCTGGGCTATTAACAAAGGGAAGAGGCCAGTTCTTACGGGGTTGCTCGGGTGAACTAGTGTCTGGCTGATCAGCTCTAGGAAAGGCCCCATGTTTTGGGAAGCAATCTAGTCCCTGTGAGATGATTGCTTCTGTTTCGGGCCATCTTGGTTTTATAGAGGCTCTGTTGGAGTCTGAGGTAACTGCAGTTTTATGTCAATGACTTTTTCCATGCTAGTTTCAGGGGTAAACGCTGGTAGTTGAATGTTCTTGCAAATCTCATCTTGGTGTCCTCAATCTTGAAGGGGAATGAGATAGATTAGGTAAAATTGGGTCTAATAAACCCTGTACTATCAGTTTTTAGATGAACCTTCCCTAGATGATTAACCAGCCTACATGTAGAGCTGAGTGGGGAGTTTTAAAGCTGTAAATGTGATTGATAAAAAGTGAAAGCAGAGATGCCAGGCTTTGTCTTGCTTTTAGTTACTCATTGGTCATCTGTAGGCCTGAATGAAAAGTCAGTTTGTTTGTTTTTAAACAAAAGTAGGTTTTAAGTCCTTGACTGCTTCAAAAGAAAACATACATCATACCTTTCGTGCATAACATGTAAAGGAACTGGAAATTTGTTTTCTTTCCCTCTGTGGTGATCTCCAAGAGTTTTATTTATTTTTTGTCTGTTTTATTCTTGGAGATGCTATAGTGAAGGCATCTTTAAAGATGCACCTAGTTTTTGAGACCCATAAAATTGTTTGTGAGAATGGGGTGGTGTAGAAAAGGATACCTAGTATACTTTTAATGGATAATAGGTCCTGAGTTAAGGCTCAGGAGTACACCTGCCCTTTCCCCATAGTAGGCAGCTGTCTCAAAGAGTAGTGGTCCATTCTCAAGGGTTGTGGGGAGATACATACAGGTGATTCACATGGAGTCTCCCAGGTAATAGCAACCTGTGGTCATTTCTGTCCAAAGTGGGTGTTAGCTTTAGCTTTCCCCCGCTTGCAAAAAGGCTGTGCCTGGATCTACTATTTACTAGTGTGTCTAGATGTAGGCTACTTTTAAACAAAAGGGACAGCTTACCGTAGCCATTCTTGTGTCTACAGAGATTTCTCTGAATACCCAACTTGAAATAAACAAAAGTATATTTTAGGTGGGATATTTTTCTTTCCATCATTATCCACAAGCAAGGCCAAAGGATTTTATGAGCCTTTTCATGTGAGATGAAAGGGCACAGAATGCATTTTTTCAGTTGCTACTAGTTGTAAAGTATGTGTCCCAAGCTATAATTGTACAAGAAGTGAAATCCAATATTTTGATGGTTGAGTTTTTCTAAAAATGTTGGGCTCAAAAGTTAATAGAAAAACTAATTGGGGTTAAGTAAATAATCTTTATTTCTCTGATCATAGTATAATTTGAAGTTGTGAAAAAATAGCGGCTCATAAACATTTATTTCTCCCTAGAGTTGACAGTCACAAGAGTATTGCAGAATCAATTGCTAGTTCTAGGGCTGTCCTCAAACAAGTTTTGAAGAAAAGTGTTATTAATTTGCAGGTATAGTATACTACACTGATTTTAAACATTTACAAACATGTTTAAATATGCTCATCTTTAAGCCATGCAAAACAATTTTAAAATAATGGAGTTTCTTAAATGTCTTTTCTTTTAATATATATAAGACCTAAATTTCTTTTTTGAAAATACATGTTTATGGAAAAATCTCATGAGTAACTACTGTTTAGTATTTTAGCATCTTTTTCCAGACTTTTAAAATGTATTTCATGAGTACACTGGATGCTTACATATAGATGTAATTCTATGTCTTCATTGTTCCCTAGTGTGTGATTTCAACAGTATTTATTGTCATATAAAAATATCATAAAATATAGAATAAAATTAAAAGATGTATGTATAATCAGTCTTCTTTCCTTCTTTTCTTTCTTGCACTAGGGATTGAACCTAGGGCCTTCATGTGTTGTATCCCTAGCTCCATTCTATTCTTTTTATACATGTGATTTGCCCATAGGTATATATAAATAAGGAAAAATACGGATTGTTGTAGTCATTTTCTCATCATTGGGACACAGTACTTGACAATCACATCTTAAAGGAATAGTTTATTTTGGTGTCAATTTTTAGTCCATAGTTGGCTGACTTCAAGGCAGAACAGTGAGGTAGAAGGCCCTGGGATGAGGAAAACTGCTCTAATCATGGCAGCCAGTCAGAAAGTGAAGAGAGAGTGAAGGGAGGAGCTGGGAAGGGAGATACAATAATACTCCTCCAGGCCACACCCCCACATGATCTGCCTTTTCTTGCCAGAACCCCTTTCCTTAACAGCAAGTGAGCTACAAGCACCATAATTCAATCACCTCCCAAAAGACCTTCCTATGGGTATGTGAGGGTCTTGGGGGACATCTAGATATAATTCATAACACAAGAGACGTGTGTGTGTATTTTACTCCCAAAGCCACAGGCATGAAACAGCTATTTAGATGTACAGTAAGGTGAAAATGACCTTATACTTCAAGGATCTGGATTTGAGTTGGCTATAGGATGAACTTGGTCAAGATTTGATGAACTAAGAACTTGGTTCAGACTTAGTTCCATATCTCAAAGAGGTGTGATGATGTTTATAGTCCATTGTAAGAATAAGATGAACTTAAAATGTGAAAGCATTTTGCTTATTGCCTGCCATGTAGCAGGCCTTCTGGTTTTCTTTTTCCCTGAACTCTAGTTCCTTCTGTCTGAAGTTAAGGTTTTCTCCACTAGATGGTGATGGTAGAAAAATAAAACATATGAATGAGGTTTTCCTAACTGAACTTAAAATTTCTTTTTGAGTTAGCATAAATGCAAACTGTTACAAGGTCACAGAGCATGAAACCTAGGCTTAAAACTTTATCCACCCTGGGCTGGGGATTTAGCTCAGCAGTTCGGTGGCCTGCCTTGCAAGCGGAAGGATCCAAGTTCAATCCCTGGTACCAAAAAACAAAACAAAACAAAACAAAAAAACCCCAAAAAACTTTATCCACCCTACTGTTTGTTTTCTACTGATCTTGACTGTTTATTTTGAGCTATGTAACATCTTCCTCATTGTCCTTCCTCAGAATCAGTCTGGGGATGATGGAGTTGTGACACAAATGTTCCTGTACCACAGGGTCTCACTCAGCCTGGCTGCAGTACCTGAGCACAGGTAGAATATAAGCCTCATGGTATTGTACCTCTGGGCATTATCTTGCACCCTTGTATTCATACCCTAGTAGACAGTTTTGAAGTAAAAATGAATCTAGGCCCAGTGTGTCCCACATGACCAACATCCTTGCCATATTTATTTACCATTCTAAGAAAAGCCCTGTGGTCATCTGTTCCTTGTGATTCCTCTCCCTGAGTACATGCTCCTTTGTTTTCCTGACTTTTCCTACATTCTGTAAGTTCTACCATATGTTACATTTCTTACTGAGTTTATCATAATATAGTTAATACATTTTCTTGGTATTGTAAACAGGAACTTGTAGTTTATTTTCTTGCTGGTCTTGTTATAAAAATAAATGCACTTATTTCATATTTTGCCTTTTTGCAAATGCTTATTAATTTTAAGTGATTTTCAGTTGATAACTGTAACCAAGGGTTTTCTGCCCCATGCTCATAGAAGGCAATAACAATTAACCAGGTTTTTACAAAAAAGAAAGCTTTTATTGAAAGCTGACAAGGAAATAGGAGACAAGCTTTAAATCTGTCTCTGCAGTTGGTAACAGTGTATAGGAAGGAAAAGAGTAAAACCACTTGTTGATTAGATGGCAAGGGAAAGTTTTACGGTTTTGGTAAGACAGATGGTAATGCTTCTTTATCTTCTTGGTGAATGTTCTACATGGGGGATTTTGAGTTTATGATGTCAGGTCATCAGCAAGGAGAATGGACTTTGGTGTGTGCTCAACCAGGCATAGGTTTTTACCTGGTCTCTGCTGAGTTCTAGAGATACTTCCTATGAAACAACCCGGAAGTGCTTGGCTGATTTATACCTGGTTTCTCCTGTTTTCACTTGTAGTATAATACAGAATACATCTGACCTTTTCCCTAATTCTTGCCACAGATCTTTGGAATTCCTTGAGATTTTCTGAGTGGCAGATGTGCCTTTATTATGCTAATGAGCCAACCTTTCCTTGGCACTTGGGGTCCTCTGGGACTAACCCAGTCTGTGGGGAAGAAAGGGGTGCTTCTTATTGAAACTAATCCTGTGACCAATGATGTATTCCTTCATGCTTGTATGATGATGAGCCTTCAGTAAAGTCTCTGGATTCTGAAACTTGGTGGAGCCTTCTGCTTGTGAGCACAGATCTTGGGCATGCCTGGATTCTAGGAAGAAAGGACATGGAGCTTCCTTTCTGGGACCGTCCTGGATCTCATGCTTGTAGTTCGGATCTTGACTGTCTCCTCAAGGCCCATGTATCAAGGGATGGTTGGTGAGGATGTGCCTTTGGAAGGTATCATGGACGCGTGCCTTTCTCTTTTGCTTCCTTTAGGTCCACAAATCATTTCTGCTAGGGCAGTAGGTTGCTGAGAGACTGGAGAAAACACCTGAACATGGCACACAGGACAAGACTTGTTGAGACCTACTTATAGGAATTCACGGGAAAGAATAGGATAGATAGATTGAGACTCACTAACAGAAGAGGGTCCATTAGTGACAGGCTGGACAGAATATTGCCTGTAAAGTCCAGTGATGAAGGCCTGAATGTGAGGCAATCAGGAGATAGAATGGTGACAGGCTGGAGAGGGAAATTGCTAGAAGGTACTCAGTATCCAGTGGTGGCCAGCTGGACTCTTGGACTCTTGTGTGATCTGTTCTTCCCTGAGTTATTGCAGGAAGGAAGGTTTTATAAGTTGAACTATATAAGCAGTGACATCATTAGCTGGCTTTGTTCCAGTGTATGACCAGTATTCTAAGGAAAGTAGGAAGGCACATTCTCTGTAGATAACTCTAGTTTGCCCTGTTCCCAGTGCCACTTAAATAATACTCATCCTAACCAACTGATGTAGGCACTCTTATAATCCCCTTGAATTAGCAAGAGTCTTGGGAAGGCAAAGGGGCAATGTATTATTTTTTCTCAGGGATGCTACAGCTTCC